TTTTCTAATAACTTGAATATTTTTTTCACACTATTCAATTCTTTCTTTCTTCATTTATCTAGTACTTTCATGTCTGTTTATTTTCCATACAACTATTAATTTTTTTCTCAAAACGTCTAATAATTCCTTTTATTAAAAAATCATTAACTCTAATAATTCTCAATAAAGACTTTTTTTTTTTTTTTTTTTGTCCTTTTTTTGTCATGTAGGTAAGCTGGTAACAATTCTGCATCCAACTTTTTTTCTTCTATTTTATCCTCTACATTTACTACTTGATTTATTTACTTTCCATAAATTACATTTTTAATTTATTAAATTATCATTGAATGAATTTGCTAGAGTAAGGAAAAACATATTATTAAAGAGAATATGGAGTTTTCTCTAGTAATTAAATGGATTTTAAATATAATTTTAATGATATAAACAAGTAAACTGCAATAATGCAGTTCATTGTGAATTTACTTTGATAAAAATTATGTATTTTTATTAAAAACATATATTCTCATTAATTATTAATTTTTAAGTACAAAATATTTATTGCTTTTTATAAGTAATTTTAAGGAATTTAAGTTCAGTGCTTTAAAAAATAATAAAAATACATAAATAATAAAAAGAAAATTTTAATTATATTAATATTACTTAACGAAAATATTATTCTTAAAAATTAAAAAACTTTCTCATGAAATTTTTTCTTTCTAAAAAATTTTTCTCTTTTAATTTTTTTTTTTTAAAAAATAAAATATATCTCTTTAAAAATAATATAGACAAAATATTAATTTTTCCTTTTTTTAACTAGATCCTGTATATGAATAATCCTATATTCTCTGTTAAACCATTAATTTTTATCCTCTTAATGGTTATCAAACCTACAAAAAAGAAATTTGAAAATATTTGATTTCTTATTTTTTTTTTTATTTTTTCCCTGATCTCCTTTAGATTCAGATTCTGTTTTATTGTCTTTCATCTCTTTATTAGATTCACATTCTGTTTTATTGTCTGTCATCTCTTTCTTAGATTCGGATTCTGTTTTATTGTCTGTCATCCCTTTCTTAGATTCGGATTCTGCTTTATTGTCTGTCATCCCTTTCTTAGATTCGAATTCGGTTTTATTGTCTCCCATCCCTTTCTTATATTTGCATAAAAATTTCTCAAATTCTGAGTGAAGTTCTCTCATAATACTATCAATATTTTGTTTTTTTTCTTCATCTGAAATATCACGTCGACGAGAAATTAAATGCATATCTCTAACTTTCCTATTTGAAAATTTATGCAATTCAACATTCCATTTTTTTTCTTTCAATTTAGGGTCCATTCCACTTGTTTCTTGATCAAATCTTTTCCACATTTGTGGAATAATGACCTTATTCCAATAATTAGACGGATCCTTGTATTGATCCTGATTTTTACATTTGTTTTTTTTATTATCTAATGGAGATTCTTCTAGGCATCCTTCAGCGTAAGTTTGCTTTTTTCCTTCTATGTTACCCTCTGTTAATATTCTTTCATATTTCAACTCATTTATTGTTTGCAATATATTTTCGTCTATCAAGGTTTTATAGGAATCACTCTATGAATTAAATAAAATTTTTTTACAAGATTGTTTCTTTTGTTAGAATAGTAAATCAAATGAAATGTTAAAAATAATTAGAAATAAAATATATCTATATGTATATATTTTGTTAATATTTTAACTTACGTTATAAAAACATTGATATATCCAAATGAAAAGAAGGAATGTACTAATTTTTAAATATAAATTTAACGTTTTCATATTAATATATTTATAGAATAATATTGAAGCGGACGTTGTTAATTCAGATGTAAAATTGTTTCAATTTTCAATAATGCTAAATTATGGATTTGTAATATTAATTTAGATATTTTTATAACTTGTATTAATTTCTTAAATTTTTAAAATGAAAAATTATTTTCATATATGAAATGTAATTTCTAATTTTTTATTATTACACATGATATTATAGTTACGCTAATTAGGAATAATATTCTTAATTCTTTAAAAAATAAAATAAGAGTACTAATTAACAAATAAATAAAAAATATAATAAATCGGTTAAAGTTATTTTAAAAATATTTTATTAAAATTTTATTTATCTTTAAATTATGTAAAAAAATAAAATATTTTTAATTTAATGCACATAAAAATTATAAATGATATACATTTAATGTTAAAGGAGTTTTTTAATTTTTTTTTTCTAAATTACTAATCTCTGTGAATTATGTCGAACTTTAAATTATTTTATATACGGTATATTATGGTTTATAAATATAAATCTTCGTATATTATAGAGATATATCTCCATCAAAAAAAGAAAAAAAAACTCTATAAATTAAAAATTTTTATACGCATGTATCTTTTATACAGTATACTACATTTGTCACAATTTTTCACTTATATAAAACTAATTTTTGTTTGTGTATATTTTTCTTTTAAATATAACTTTTTTGATTTTTCTAATATACGTTTTTTTATCTTAATTCTTTTTTTTTTATTTTTATTATTGATAAATGTTTATACAATATATGTGTATATTTATTTTTTGTTATAACTATTTTTAAAAAAATATTACTTTTTCAATTATTTGAAAAAAAATAAAAAAAATTTATTAAGTACTTTAAATCAAAAGAAAAAGTGAAGATAGGTATTTATTTTTAAGAAATTATAATAACAAATCATGTAAAAAGCATTTTTAAAAGTGAAATAAATTAATTACAATTTAAAAAAAAAAAAAAAAAATACTATTTTTTTAATCACATATTTAAAGTAAAAAATATTTTTTAAAAAAAGTTTTTTGACAAATTTACTTTATTCTAAAAATATATTCCTGTAAATTTACTTTTTTACTAATAATACTTATTAGTTTCAATTTTAATATAAATATTATTTACTGAATATAAAAATATATCCTTAGTTAAATATAATAGATTTTTTCTTATAAAATTCATAAGAATGCATTTTCATTGGGATATAAAAAATATCAATAAATAAAGATAAAAGAGAATTATAAAATAACTAAAAAAGAGATCTTAAATAGATAAAAGATATTTACATATAAAAGAGTTTAATTTGCATAATATTTATATTTTTAATTTGTGAGAGAAAATTTTATACATATAACAATAAAATTTTCACGTAATTAATATCCATATAATTTATTTGCATTTTTACTAATTATTAATGTTTGTTTATTCAACACCAATATATTTTAATTGCTGAACATAACTCATAATGAAGAAATAAATAAATTACTATTAAATATTAATCAATATTCAATAAGGATTTTAATTTTTAATAAAAGTAAGGATTTTTATTAAAATAAATAAATGACTATTGAAATTAAAAAAAGATGAATGAAGTAGATAACATAAATAAGGATCACTCGTTCAAAGCATATAAAAGTATATATAAATACACCATAATCGTAGACACATCTCTACATGCTCTTTATTAATTTGTTTGTTCAGTATTCGAGCGAAGTCACCTAACATCCAGTTAATAAATCAATACTATACAAATGAGTTACCTAAATTTCATAAGTAAAATGAAAAATAAAAAATTGTGCTATAAATATAATAAACTAAAAATAAAAAAGAAAATAAACACATGGTAATAATAAGCAACACTTATCAAATAAATATATAAAGGCAAAAAAAAAAAATAAAATAATTTTCTTTTATATTTAATTAGAAGATTATAATAATATATATACAAAATGTTATTTTATAATTCTGTATTAACCTTATTTATTGATATTTTTTATATCACAATAAAAATGCATTCTTTTGAATTTTGTAAGAAAAAAACTATTATATATAACTAAAGATATATTTTTATATTCAGTAAATAACATTTATATTTAATTTGAAACTTATAAGAATTACTCGTAAAATAGTAAATTTATAAAAAAGTATTTTTAGAATTAATTAAGTAAATTTGTAAAAAAATAAAACATTTTTTAAAAAATATTTTTTACTGTAAATGTATGATTAAAAAAATAGATTTTTTTTTTTTTTTTTTTAAATTGTAATTAATTTATTTGACTTTGAAATGTGCTTTTTATATGATTTGTTACTTTAATTTATTTAATGTAAATACCTATCTTCACTTCTTTTGAATTTAAGTACTTAATAAATTTTTTATTTATTTTTTTCAAATAGTTGAAAAAGTAATTTTTTTTAAAAAATAGTTATAATAAAAAATAAATATATACATATATTGTATAAACATTTATCAATAATAAATATAAGAAAAAATAATTAATATAAAAAAAATATATTAGAAAAATAAAAAAAGTTTTATTTAAAAGAAAAATATACACAAACAAAAATTAGTTTTATATTAAGTGAAAAATTGTCACAAATGTAGTATACTGTATGAAAGATACATGCGTATAAAAATTTTTAATTTATAGAGTTTTTTTTCTTTTTTTAATCCAGATATATCTCTATAATATACGAATATTAATATTTATAAATCATAATATACCGCATATTAAATAATTTAAAGTTCGACATAATTCACAGAGATTGGTAGTTTAGAAAAAAAAGATAAAAATAAAACCTTAAACATTATATGTATATCATTTATAATTTTTATGAGCATTAAATTAAAAATATTTAATTTTTTTACATAATTCAAAGATAAATAAAATTCTAATAAAATATTTTCAAAATAACATTATCCAATTTATTATATTTTTTATTTATTTGTAAATTAACATTCATATTTTATTTTTTAAAGAATTAATAATATTATTCCTATCTAAAGTAATAATAATATCATATGTAATAATAAAAAATTAGAAATTACAGTTCATATATGAAAATAATTTTCTATTTTAAATATATAAGAAATTAATGTAAGTTATAATAATATCTAAATTAATATTACAAATCCATAATTTAGTATTACTGAAAATTGAAACAAATTTACACCTGAATTTACAACTTCCACTTCAATATTATTGTATAAATATATTCATATGAAAACGTTAACTTTATATTTAAAATTTACTACATTCCTTCTTTTAATTTGGATGTATCAATATTTTTATAACGTAAGTTAAAATTTTTACAAAAAATGTAAATATAGATATATTTTATTTCTAATTATTTTAAACATCCCATTTGATTTACTATTCTAGCAAAAGAAACATTCTACTAAAAAAATTTTTATTTAATCCATAGTGTGATTCCTATAAAACATTGATTGATAAAAATATATTGCAAATAATAAATGAGTTAAAATATGAAAGAGTATTAACAGAGGGTGACATAGCAGGAGAAAAACAAACTAACGCTGAAGGATGTCAAGAAGAATGTCCAACAAAAAATAATGAAAAAGAAAAAAAAAAAATAATATGGAAAAATTCACGAAAATTGAGTAATCCATACAATCTATGGCAGAAATTCACTAGTCCAGCATTGTTTGAGCGATTTAAAAATGAAATCAATGGAATGGATCCTAAATGGATAGAGGAAAAATGGAAGAATGAATGGAATCAAATTTCAGAGAACAAAGTTAAGGATCTATCTTCTATATTTCAACGAAGTGATATTTCAAATGAAGAAAAAGAAAAATTAATTCTTGATACTAAAACAGAACTCTTCAAACTATATATGGAATTTGTAGACGAATCTAAGAAAGAGATGAGAGGCAATAAAACAGAATCCGAATCTGAATCTGAGAAAGAGTTGAGGGACAAAAAAAGAGAATCCGAATCTAATAATGAGATGAAAGACCATAGAACAGAATCCGAATCTATTAATGAAATGATAGACAATAGAACAGAAACCGAATCTATGAAGGAGATGAGAGAAAATAGAAGAGAATCCAAATCTGAGAAAGAGATGATAGACAATAAAGCAGAATCCGAATCTGAGAAAGAGATGATAGACAATAAAGCAGAATCCGAATCTGAGAAAGAGATGAGATACGATAAAACAGAATCCAAATCTAGGAATGAGCAGGGAACAAATGAAGTAAAAAATTATAAAAAAATTTGGGTATTACTTATTGTTTTGATAATCTTAAGGAGAATATAAATTAGTGATTTAACAGAGTATATAGGATTAGTCATGCACAAGATCTAGTTGAAAAAAAAAAAATTAATATTTTGCGTAAATTTATTTTATAGAAATATATTTAATTTTTTAAAAAAAAAAAATTTCATGTGAATATTTTTTAACTTTTAAGAATAAAATTTTCGTTCAGTGATATTTGTATAATTAAATTTTTTTATTATTATTTAGGTATTTTTATTATTTTTAAAAGCAGTGAAATTAAATTACTGAAAATTACTTATAAAAAGCAATAAACATTTTATATATAAAAATTAATTATTAATTAGAATATATGTTTTTAATAAAAATACATAATTTTTATCATAGTAAATCCACAACGAACCGCTTTATTGCGTTTTATTTGTTTATGTCATTAAAATTAGATTTAAAACCCTTTTAATTATTAGAGAAAACTCTTTATTCATTTTAATAATTTGTTTTTCATAACTCTAGCAGATTCATTGAATGATAATTTAATAAATTAAAAATGTAAATTATGGAAAGTAAATTAATCAGGTTGTAAATGTAGAGGATAAAATAGAAGAAGAATAGTTGGATGCAGAATTATTACCAGCTGGTTTATTAACTAGATGTTAGGTGACTTTGCTTGAGTACTGAACAAACAAATTAATAAAGAGCATGTAGAATTGCCTCTACGGTTTTTATGTATTTACATATATTTTTAAATGCTTTGAACAAGTGATGCTTAATTATGTAATCTGCTTCATTCAGAATTCTTTAATTTGAATGGGCATTTATTTACTTTAATAAAAATCCTTATTTTTATTAAAAATTTAGATCCTTATTGAACGTTGATTATTAATTAATTATAAATTACTTGTTTCTTTGTTATGAGTTTTATTAAGTAAGTAATATATATTGCTGTTGAATTAGCAATCATAAACAATTCTTTATAATGCAAAGAAAATTATATAAATATTTATTATATGTAAATTTTATTGTTATATGTACAAAATTTTCTTTTGCAAAATTCGTCACAAAATATATTTCATTCCCTACAAAAAGAATTGTTTTTTTTTTTATTTTTATTTTTATTTATTTTTAACAAATGTTTTTTCAATGGATTTTTTTTTTATCAATTTTTTTTCCTGACTGTCATTGCATTTTTCTTTTTTTTATATATTTATTTTTTTTCTGACGGTCTTTGTACTTTTTTTTTTTTCAAAAAAAATACATACAAAAAAAAATTGATCATCAATTTTTCTTTAGTGTGTGTGCATCACTATCTTCATATTCATCATTTAGCTAATCCTTATATTTTCGAAAAAGGTTAATAAAGCCTTTTATTAACCACAAGGTCATCGAACGCCCAGTTAATTAATCAATGAGTTAATACATTTCTCTATAAACTATCCTATGGATCTTTTTGGTATAATTTTAGACGAATAAATAGAATAGAAACATTTTATTTTGTACATGCTAATTCCCAAGGACAATCTGATATCATAAATGTCTTTAAAATAATTATTCAAAAAGCATGTAAACAAAAAAAATATGTATATACATACTTGCACTTAAAGTGAGTGCACTTAAAAAAAAATATATATTATGGTGATATTTTTTTTATTACAAAAAACAAATATAATCTAAAAAAAAAAAATTAGTTCTTTTTTTTTTTGTTTTTGGAGGATAACGTGCAGACTACTATGGAATGTATATTTTTAAGCTTGTTTATATTAAAAAAAAAATAATTAATTAATAAGTTATATTTAATGTTTATTAATAAAAATAAAAGTTTTTTATTAAAATTAAGTTGAGATTGCATTACATATTCCTTATTAATTTATTTGATTGACACTAGAAAAGTAATTTAATAACCATTAATAAATCAGAGTTATAAATAATTTCTTTTCCTTAGGATTATTATCCTATTTACAATAATTATAATAATTCTAATACTTCATGAGCTGATATTTGGATAATTTATGTTTCTATATCTCCAATACACACACTTTTCAAATTATTTTAATATCATGTAATATCTATGTTAAACGTAAGACACTTATATATTTTAAATATTTTTATATGTAAGAACAACTTCAACACATAACATTAAAAAAACATAAATCATAAAAAATGCACTTTTATTAAATTTATGATTATTTTTTAGAGAAAAATTAGTGTTAAAATATTAAAAATGATAGTATTTATACAAACCACTTTTTATTAATAATACGTCAAAGATCCTAACAAATTAAATTTAAAAAATAAAAATTCTTATTAAAATTCTCCATTAATATTTACAAAGATTTCTTATAAAATTTAGCCTATTAAGAAAAAGGTTATATTAGAAAGGAAGAATTGATGAATTTATTTATACTATATAAATGAGTTACCTAAATTTTTTGGAATGTAAAATGAAAAATAAAAAATTGTGCTATAAATATATAAAACTGAAAATAAAAAAGAAAATAAACACATCGTAATAATAATCAAAACTTATCAAATAAATATATAAAGGCAAAAAAAAAAAAAAAATAAAATAATTTATTTTTATATTTAATTAGAAGATTATAATAATATATATGCAAAAAGTTATTTTATAATTCTGTTTTATCTTTATTTATTGATATTTTTTATATCACAATAAAAATGCATTCTTTTGAATTTCATAAGAAAAAATCTTTTATATTTAACTAAAGATATATATTTATATTCAGTAAATAACATTTATATTAAATTTGAAGCTGATAAGAATTACTCGAAAAATAGTAAATTTATAAAAATGTATTTTTAGAATTAAGTAAATTTGTAAAAAAATAAAACTATTTTTAAAAAATATTTTTTACTGTAAATGTATGATTACAAAAATAGTTTTTTTTCTTTTTTTTTTTAAATTGTAATTAATTTATTTGACTTTTAAATGTGCTTTTTATAATATTTTTTATTATAATTCATTTAAAGTAAATAACTATTTTCACTTTTTCTTTTGAATTTAAGTATTTAAAAAATTTTACTTATTCTTTTTCAAATATTTGAAAAAGTAATTTTTTTTAAAAAATAGTTATAGCAAAAAATAAATATATACATATATTGTATAAAAAATTATCAATAATTAAAATAAAAAAATATGAATTAAGATAAAAAAAAGTATATTAGAGAAATCAAAAAAGTTATATTTTTAAGAAAAATATACATAAACAAAAATTAGTTTCAAATTAATGAAAAATTGTGACAATTGTAGTATACTGCATGACAAGTAAATACTTATAAAAATTCTTAATTTATAGATTTTTTTTTCTTTTTTTGATGGAAATATATATCTATAATATATCAAGATTCATATATATAAATCATAATATACCGTATATAAAATAATTAAAAGTTCAACATAATTCACAGAGATTGGTAGTTTAGAAAAAAAAAAATAAAAAAAGTCCTTTATCATTAAATGTATATCATTTATAATTTTTATGTCCATTAAATTAAAAATATTTAATTCTTTTATATAATTTAAAGATAAATAAAATTTTAATAAAATATATTTAAAATAACTTTATGCGATTTATTATTTTTTTTATATATTTGTAAATTAACATTCTTATTTTATTTTTTAAAGATTTAAGAATATTATTTGTATTTAAAGTAACCATAATATCATATGTAATAATAAAAAATTAGAAATTACAGTTCATATATGAAAATAATTTTCTATTTTAAAAATATAAGAAATTAATGTAAGTTATAACAATATCTACATTAATATTACAAATCCATAATTTTGTATTATTTAGAACTGAAACAATTTTACACCTGAATTTACAAATTCCACTTGAATATTATTTAATAAATATATTAATATGAAAACGTTAACTTTATATTTAAAAATTACTACATTCCTTCTTTTAATATGGATGTATCAATGTTTTTATAACGTAAGTTAAATGTTTTACAAAAAATATGCATACAGATATATTTTATTTCTAATTATTTTTAACATTCCATTTGATTTCTATTCTAACAAAAGAAACATTCTTTTAAAAAATTTTTATTTAACCCATAGTGTGATTCCTATAAAACTTTGATTGATAAAAATATATTGCAAAAAAAAAATGAGCTAAAATATGAAAGAGTATTAGCAGAGGGTGACATAGCAGGAAAAAAGCGAACATACTCTGAAGGATGCCTAGAAGAATGTCCATTAGATAATAAAAAAAACAAATGGGAGAATCCAGTTCAATACGAGAACCCGTGCGATTATTGGAATAAGGTCATTACTCCACAATTGTGGGAGCAATTTAATCAAGAAACCAGTGATATGGACACTAAATTGAAAGAAAAAAAATGGAATGTTGAATGGAATAAAACTGCGGCTAACAAAGTTAATGATCTATCCTCAATATCTCGTCGACGAGATATTTCAGATGAAGAAAAAAAAAAATTAATTGATAGTGTTAAGGAAAGTCTTCTCTTAGAATTTAAGAAATTTTTAGACGAATGTAGGAAAGAGATGAGAGAAAATAAAACAGAATCCGAATTTAATAAAGGGATGAGAGACAATAAAACAGAATCCGAATATAATAAAGAGATGAGTGACAATAAAACAGAATCCGAATTTATGAAAGAGATGAAACAAAATGAAGCAGAATCCAAATCTAAGAAAGAGCAGGGAAAAAACAAAAAAAAAAATAAGATATTTGATTTTATGAAACAATTAATTTTTTATAAGTATGATAATATTTTTGATTAATAAAATTAATGGTTTAACAGAGAATATAGAATTATTCATGCAGAGGATCTAGTTAAAAAAAAGAAAAATAAGTATTTCGTCAAAATTCATTTTATAGAGATATATTATATTTTTTAAAAAAAAAAAAATTAAGAGAAAAATTTTTTTGAAAAAAAAAATTTCATGAGAATATTTTTTAATTTTTAGGAATAATATTTTCATTAAATGATGTTGATATAATTAAAATTTTTTCTTATTTAAGTATTTTTATTATTTTTAAATGCATTGAACTTAAGTTACTCAAAATTGCTTATAAAAAGCAATAAATATTTTATACTTAAAAATTAATAATTAATGAGAATATATGTTTTTATTTAAAATGCATAATTTTTATAAAAGTAAATTCACAATGAACCGCATTATTGCAGTTTAATTGTTTACATAATATAAATTAGATTTAAAATCCATTTAATTACTAGAGAAAACTCCATATTATCTTTAATAATTTGTTTTTCATTAATCTAGCAAATTCATTGAATGATAATTTAATAAATTAAAAATGTAAATTATGGAAAGTAAATAAATCAGGTAGTAAATGTAGAGGATAAGATAGAAGAAAAAAAGTTGGATGTAGAATTATCACGAGCTTACCTGCATGACAAAAAAAGGACACAAAAAGAAAAAAAAAAAAGTCTTTATTGAGAATTATTAGAGTTAATGATTTGTTAATAAAAGGAGTTATTAGCCTTTTTGAGAAAAAAATTAATAGCTGTATGGAAAATAAATAGACACGAAAGTACTAGATAAATGGAAAAAAAAAGAATTGAATGGTGTGAAAAAAATATTCATGTTATTAAAAAATAGAAGAAAACTTGATAGAATGTTTTTTAGTGGAAAATTTTTATCTTTGGATTTTAAGGAGAAAATTTTTTATTAACAATAATAAAATTTTCGTGTTTGTAGTATTGTATAACTTATTTTGTATTTTGTTATTTATATTTGCTAATTAACGAGAAGTGAATTTGAATTGTTAATCATTAGTCATAACTTTATAAGTAAAATATGTGTGATTTGAAACTATAATTAATAAGGATTTAAATTTTTAATAAAAATAGGGTTTTTATTAAAATAATTAAATGCCTCATAAAAACAATAAATATTCAATGAAGGAGACCATATGCATTTCAATGGTTTATAGTATTAAAAACAATTTTAAATTCATTTAAATGATAGAAGAAATTCTATATGCTCGTTGTTAATACTTTTTTTCACTACTCTAGCAAAGTAATGAATAGAAAATTAATATACCATTAATTACATTTATTTAACTTATATTATGATTTATATTTAACAATTCAAATTTATTGCTCTCAAATTAACAACCATAAATAATTGATAAAATTCAAATTAAATTACGTAAGTACTACAAAACACAAAAATTATATTATAGTTAATATAAAATTTTCTTATTTAAATTTAAACAAAAATACACCACAATAAACTTTTTTAGTCAATAACTTTTTCTTCTATTTTTCGACCATATAATTCCTTTTAAATAAAGTAAAATTTTATTTTTTTGTGTATTTAATTTACAAAAATAAAAAAAAAAATTAACTAATTTTTTTCTTTTTTTTTTACTTGACAATTGCATGTTGGCTAATAAAATGTATTATTAAGCTTTTTGAAAACAAACCATATATGTTGTATGGAAAATATATAGTTATACATGCAAATTCTAGATGCAAAAAAAAAAAAAAAAATTAACTGTTAATTTCTTTGTTTTTTTTTTCTAATTTTTAAATTCAAAAAAAAAATATATTTACGTTTTTTTTGAAATGATTAATTTTTAAGTTGAAATATTTATTTTATTTATTTCTTATTTAATAACTTTGATAGAGTATTGAACAAATATATTAACAAAGAGAAGATAGAATTTTCTCTACTATTTTAATGAATTAATGTTAAGTTATAATTCTATAAACCAGTAAACTGCTTTATATATATAATCTTCCTAAATAAACATTTATTTTTTTCAAGAGGCAATTATTTATTTTAATAAAAATACTAAATTTTTAATAAAAATTTGAAACCTCATTGATTATCCATATTAACTATATATATTTTATTTATAATGTTATGAGTAATGTTTAACAACTCAAATCCATTTTTGCGAAATTAACAAATATAAATAAGTAACAGAATACAAAATAAACCACGCAATATTATTAACATGAAAATTTTATCATAATTGTTATAAAATTTTCTTACATGAAATCAAAACATAGTATACTTCGTTAACAAAAGGCTTCATTAACCTTTTTGGCAATAAAAAAGACTAGCAATATGAAGAATACGTAGTTGGTTGTGCACACGCAGAAAAAAAAAACATATTATTGAAATTTTTTCTGATATTTTTCTTAAAGAAAAAACAGAGATACGTAAAAAAAAAAAAATAATATATTTATTTTTTTAAAATGATTAAAATAAAGGAGAAGAAAATTGGTAAAATAAAAATAGAGATTAAGATTTAGTACCAATAAAAATGATATCTTAAACATATAAAAAATTATTTACATAAAAGAGTTTAATTTGTATAACATATATATTTTTAATTTGTGAGAGAAAATTTTATACTTATGACAATAAAATTTTGACATAATTAATATTCATATAATTAATTTTCATTTTAACTAATTGTTTATGTTTTTTAATTCAACGGCAATATATTTAAATTACTTAATATAACTCATAACAAATAAATAAATAAATTAAAATTAAATAATAATGAATATTAAATATGGATTTTTATTAAAGTAAATAAAAGCCTATTGAAATCAAAAATGCTGAACGAAGAAGATCACCTAATTAAAAACCACTCGCTCAAAGCTTACAAAAGTATATATAAATACATCAAAATCGTAGACACAACTCTACATGCTCTTTATTAATTTGTTTGTTCAGTACTCTAGCAAAGTCACGGAACACCCAGTTAATAAATCAATACCATAAATCCTTTAATATAATAAACAAATGTTTCACAAGTTGTAACTATTGAAAATAATTTTTTTTATATTGTAATCTATTTCCGTTTAATATCACTAAGTTATCTTGACGTACAGTGAACATATTTAGCTTTACCTATGTTGTTTATATCCGGTAATACATTGTTATATAAACAATGCTATTGGCCTTTTTTGTATAATATTTAGATGAATAAATAGAATAAAAACATTTTATTTTGTGCATGCTAATTCGCAAGGACAATCTGATATCATAAATTCCTTCTCTAAAATAGTTATTCAAAAAGCATGTAAACAAAAAAAATATGTATATACACACTTGCACTTAAAGTGAGTGCACTTAAAAAAAAATAAATAAATAATATTATTTTTTTTGTGTGGATATTTACATTAAAAAAAAATATATACCGTGATTATATTTTTTAATTACAAAAAAAAAAATGTAATCTTAAAAAAAAAATTAGTTTTTCTTTTTTTTTTTTTAGAGTATAATGTGCAGACTACTATAGAATGTATATTTTTATTTTAAGCTAAAATGTAATATTAAGGAAATTACATTTTAAGGTGTTACATATATTAAAAAAAAAATAATTAACTAACAAGTCATATTTAATGCTTATTAATAAAAATAAAAATTTTATATCAAAATTAAGTAGAGTTTACACTACATTTTCCTTATTAATTTATTTCTTTGTCACAAGAAAAGTAATTTAACAGCCATTAATAAATCAGAACTATAAATAATTTCTCTTCCTTAGGAATATTATCTTATTTATAATAATTATAATAATTTTAATACATCATCATCTGTCATTTGGATAATTTAAGTTTCTATATCTCCAATACACACACTTTTCAAATTATTTTAATATCATGTAATATCTATGTTAAACGTAAGACACTTATATATTTTAAATATTTTTATATGTAAGAACAACTTCAACACATAACATTAAAAAAACATAAATCATAAAAAATGCACTTTTATTAAATTTATGATTATTTTTTAGAGAAAAATTAGTGTTAAAATATTAAAAATGGTAGTATTTATACACATCACTTTTTATTAATAATATGTGAAAGATTCTAACAAATTAAATTTAAAAAATAATAATTCTTATTAAAATTCTCCATTAATATTTACAAAGATTTCTTATAAAATTTAAACTTTTAAGAAAAAAGTTATATGAGAAAAGAACAATTGATGAATTTATTTATACTATATAAAAGAGTTACCTAAATTTTTTGGTAAGTAAAATGAAAAATAAAAAAGTATGCTATAAATATATAAAACTAAAATTAAAAAAGAAAATAAACACATCGTAATAATAATCAAAACTTATCAAATAAATATATAAAGGCAAAAAAAAAAAAAAAAAATAAAATAATTTATTTTTATATTTAATTAGAAGATTATAATAATATATATGCAAAAAGTTATTTTATAATTCTGTTTTATCTTTATTTATTGATATATATTATATCACAATAAAAATGCGTTCTTTTGAATTTCATAAGAAAAAATCTTTTATATTTAACTAAAGATATATTTTTATATTCAATAAATAACATTTATATTAAATTTGAAACTGATAAGAATTACTCGAAAAATAGTAAATTTATAAAAATGTATTTTTAGAATTAAGTAAATTTGTAAAAAAATAAAACTATTTTTAAAAAATATTTTTTACTGTAAATGTATGATTACAAAAATAGTTTTTTTTTTTTTTTTTTTTAAATTGTAATTAATTTATTTGACTTTTAAATGTTCTTTTTATAAGATTTGTTATCATAATTTCTTTAATGTAAATACCTATTTTCATTTTTTCTTTTGAATTCAAGTACTTAATAAATTTTTTTTATTTTTTTTGAAATAGTTGAAAAAGTAATTTTTTTAAAAAATAGTTATAACAAAAAATAAATATGTACATATATTGTATAAACATTTATCAATAATAAAAATTAAAAAAAAGGAATTGAGATAAAAAAAAGTATATTAGAAAAATCAAAAAAGTTATATTTATAAGGAAAATATTCACAAACAAAAATTAGTTTTATATTAAGTGAAAAATTGTGACAAATGTAGTATACTGCATGAAAAATACATGCGTATAAAAATTTTTAATTTATAGAGTTTTTTTTCTTTTTTTAATGGAGATATATCTCTATAATATACCAAGATTAATATTTATAAATCATAATATACCGTATATAAAATAATTTAAGTTCAAAATAATTCACAGAGATTGGTAATTTTGAAAAAAAAAAAAATAGAAAAAATCCTTTAACATTAAATGTATATCATTCATAATTTTTATGCGCATTAAATTAAAAATATTTAATTTTTTTACATACTTTAAAGATAAATAAAATTTTAATAAAATGTTTTTAAAATAACTTTATTCGATTTACTATCTTTTTATTTATTTGTAAATTAACATTCATATTTTATTTATTTAAGGAATTAAGAATATTATTCCTATCTAAAGTAATCATAATATCATATGTAATAATAATAAATTAGAAATTAAATATCATATATGAAAATAATATTCTATTTTAAAAATTTAGGAAATTAGTATACGTTATAATAATATCTAAATTAATATTGCAAATCCATAATTTAGTATTATTGAAAATTGAAACAATTCTACACCTGAATTAACAACTTCCACTTCAATATTATTCTATAAATATATTAATATGAAAACGTTAACATTATATTTAAAAATTACTACATTCCTTCTTTTAATTTGGATGTATCAATGTTTTTATAACGTAAGTTAAAATTTTTACAAAAAACATACATATAGATATATTTTATTTCTAATTACTCTTGACATTACATTTGATTTTCTATTCTAATAAAAGAAACATTCTTTTAAAAAATTTTTATTTTATCCATAGTGCTATACTTATAAAACTTTGATTGATAAAAAAAGATTGCAAATAAAAAATGAGCTAATATATGAAAGAGTATTAACAGAGGGAGACATAGCAGGAAAAGAGCAAACGTACGCTGAAGAATGCCAAGAAGAATGTCCAATAGTAAAAAAAAAAAAAGAAAAAAAAAAAAAATATAGGTATATTCCGCTAGTACGCGAGAATCCGTACGATCGATGGCAGAATGTCAATAATCCAACATTGTTTGAGCGATTTAAAAATGAAACAATTGGAATGGATGATAAATGGAGAGACCAAAAATGGAATAATGAATGGAATAAAATTTCAGCGAACAAAGTTAATGAACTATCTGAAATATTTAATCAAAGTGATATTTCAAAAGAAGAAAAAGAAAAATTAATTTATACTGTTAAGGATGAACTCTTCGGACTATTTGCGAATTTTTTAAAAGAATGTAAGAAAGAGATAAGAGACAATAAAACAGTATCCGAATCTATGAAAGAGATGATAGACAATAAAACAGTATCCGAATCTATGAAAGAGTTGACTGACAGTAAAACACGATCCGAATCTATGAAAGAGATGATAGACAATAAAACAGAATCCGAATCTAAGAATGAGCAGGGAAAAAATAAAATAAAAAATCAGAAATCAAATATATTGAAATTTCTTTTTAAGAAGTTTGAAAACCATTAAGAGAATAAAAATTAATGGTTTAACAGAAAATATAGGATTATTCATTCGCACGATCTAGTTAAAAAAAAGAAAAATTAATATTTTGTCTAAATTTTTTTTATAGAGATATATTTTATTTTTAAAAAAAAAAAAAATTAAAAGAGAAAAATTTTTTAGAAAAAAAAAATTTCATGAGAATATTTTTAATTTTTAAGAATAAAATTTTCGTTAAGTGGTATTAATTTAATTAAATTTTTCTTTTTATTATTTATGTATATTTTTTATTTTTAAAAGTAGTGAACTTAAATTAATGAAAATTACTTTTAAAAGCAATAAATATTTTGTGCTTCAAAATTAACAATTAATGAGAATATATGTTTTTAATAAAAATATATAATTTTTATCAAAGTAAATTCATAATGAACCGAATTATTTAGTTTACTTGTTTGTATCATTAAGATTAGATTTAAAATCCATTTAAATACTAGAGAAAACTCTATATTCTCATTAATTATATGTTTTTCATTACTCTAGCAAATTCGTTGAATGATAATTTAATAAATTAAAAATGTAAATTATAAAAAATAAATAAATCAGGTAGTAAATGTAGAGGATAAAATAGAAGAAAAAAAGTTCGATGCAGAATTATTATCAGCTTACCTACATGACAAAAAAAGGACACAAAAAGGAAAAAAAAAAGTCTTTATTAGAATTATTAGAGTTAATGATTTATTAATGAAAGAAATTATTAGCCTTTTTGAGAAAAAAATTAATAGCTATATGGAAAATTAATAGACATGAAAGTACTAGATAAATGAAAAAAAAAAGAATTGAATAGTCTGAAAAAAATATTCAAGTTATTATAAAATAGAAGAAAAATTGATAAAAAGTTTTTTCGCGGAAAATTTTTATCTTTGAACTTTTAATAGAAAATTTTATATTAACAATAATAAAATTTTCGTGTTTGTAGTATTGTATTACTTATTTTGTGTTTTGTTATTTATATTTGTTAATTCACGAGAAGTGAATTTGAATTGTTAAATATTAATCATAACATTATAAGTAAAATATATGTGATTTGAAACTATAATTAATAAGGATTTAAATTTTTAATAAAAATAGGGATTTTTATTAAAATAATTAAATGCCTCTTAAAAACAATAAATGCTCGATGAAGAATACCATATACATTTCAATGGTTTATAATATTAAAAACAAATTTAAATTCATTTAAATGATAGAAGAAACTCTACATGCTCGTTGTTAATCCTTTTTTTCAATACTCTAGTAAAGAAATGAATAGGAAATTAATAAACCATTAATTACATTTATTTAACTTATATTATGATTTATATTTAACAATTCAAATTTATTGCGCTCAAATTAACTAGCATAAATAATTGATAAAATTCAAATTAAATTACGTAAGTACTACAAAAAACAAAAATTTTATTATAGTTAATATAAAATTTTCCTATTAAAATTTATACAAAAATACACCACAATAAGCTTTTTTAGTCAATAACTTTTTTTTCTATTTTTCGATCACTAAATTCCTTTAAAAAAAGTAAAAATTTATTTTTTTTTTGTATTTATAATACAAAAATTAAAAAAACATTAACTAATTTTTTTCTTCTTTTTATACTTAACATTTGCATGTTTGTTAATAAAATGTATAATTAACCTTTTTAAAATAAACGATAATAGTTTTATGGAAAATATATAGTTATAAATGTGGTTAATAAGAGGCTTCATTAACCTTTTTGGCTATAAAAGAACTAGCTATGTGGAGAATACATAGTTAGTTGTGCTAACTAAAAAAAAAAAAAAAAAAAAATTATTGGAATTTTTTTTTGAGAAATGTTTCTTTCGAAAAAGATAAAGATAATAATAAAGAAAAAATAAAAAGATTTTAATTTTTTTTTTTTGGGGAAGGAGAGAGATTTTTTTTGCAAATGATAATAATGTTTTTGTAATGAGTTTAATATGCATAATATTTGTATTTTGAATTTATGAGAGAAAACTTTATACATATGAAAATAATATTTTCACGTAATTAATATTCATATAATTTATTTGCATTTTTAATAAATGCTTATGTTTGTTAATTCAACAGCAATATATGTAAATTGCTGAACATAACTTACAACAAAAAGATAATTAAGTTACATTTAATTATTAGTCAAAGTTCAATAAGGATTTAAATTTTTAATAAAAATAAAGATTTTTATTAAAGTAAATAAATGCCTATTGAAATTAAAGAATTCTGAATAAAGTAGATTACGTAATTAAGAATCACTCATTCAAAGCATTTAAAAATATATATAAATACATCAAAACCGTAGAGGCAGCTTTACATGCTCTTTATTAATTTTTTTTTTCAGTACTCTAATAAAGTCACCGAACACCCAGATAATAAAACAATTTTAAAGCATTACAAGAAGTAAAAAAAGATTTTTATTAGAAAAATGAGAAATTATTAATAAATTTTCCTTCTATATAAAAAAGAACATAAAAAAATATATTAAAAAAAAACTTAATTTTATTAAAAGAAATTAAAAATACATTATTACACCTAAAATATATTTTATTGCTTAACCTTATATAAAAATAAAATTTACCATTATTAAAAATATTCACTTTTTGAGGAATATTTGTAAATTCTTATTAGTTAGAAATCATAGTGAAATGAATAACTGTATAAGTTAAAATGCTCCTTTTAATAACACTATTAATTTATATTTGTTATTTAAACATTAAACGTCATATATTTTATGATTACTATTAGTGCCAAATAATATAATTATATGTATTATTATAATTATAATTTAAATTATTATAATTTTTCTTTTCTTTTTTCTCCGTTTTACATGGTATTTTTTAACACTCTAAGCCTTTTTATTGAATTGCTTTATTTAAAATTAATTTTTCTATTCATTTTATTTTTTAGTAATTAAAAAATAAAAATAGTTAAATAAAAATTAGAAAGTTAAAAAAAAAAGAGCACATGCAAGTAAAAGAAAATATGAAGAGAAAAAAATTTTTGTATTTGTATTAATAAAATTCTTACAGTCTTAACGTATGGTTAATAAAAAGAATTATTAACTTTTTTGAGAATGAAAATAACTAGCTATTTGGAAAATTCATAGTTAGCCATGCAAGAGCTATATAAAAAAAAAAAAAGAAAAATGATAAAAAAAAATATCAGAAATATTTTATTTTTTTTTGCAAAAGATTTTCTTTTGTAGAGAATTTATATTTTGGAATTTAAAAAGAAAAAATTTTAAGATGAAAGAATAATAAAATTCTCATGTGTATACTAATTATATAAATTTAATTTGTATTTTATTAATTGTTGCACATTTGTTAATTTTAACATTATACTTAAGTGTTAAACATTACTACTAACATTACCATTAAAAATTTATATAAGCACTAATAAATAATCAATGATGATTTATATCATTAATTAGAATAATACAATTATTATTAAATTAAACGAATATCTCTTAAAAACTAATATATTATCAACAAAATAGTCTACACAAATATAGTATACTTGTTTATAACAATGGTAATTATTCATATATTCATTAAATCCGCATGGGTAACTCTAGATGCTCTTCACTAATTTATTTGTTCAATACTCCAGCAAAGCCACCGTACAGGTAATTAATAAATCAACGTGAAGTACTTTTTAAAACAAATATTTTTGAAATAATAATTATTAAAATATATATTAATGTTAACTATTTTTAAACGTTATTACAATGAAATACTTTTTTTATTTATATTTATATATATATATATATATTTTTTATAATGCAAAATGGAATAAAATTAATATAATATTATGGTAAGTGAAAAGAGAGAAAGTGTATGTAAAAAAAAAAAAAAAAAAAAATTAAAAAGAGCTTTTACTGAGTAATTAAAATATAGAAACCTAATTATTTAATATTTATTGATTATAAGTAATTAGTAAATAAATAGATATACATTAAAATAAGTAATTAAAATTGATAAGAATAGAATAATAGATATTTGAAAGTCAAATAATTTTATTTTTTTTTTTGTATTCGATTTTGTTTTTTGAAGATATATCAAATAAATTTTTAATAGATAAAATTATTTAATTAAACTTGTGAATTTAGGTTTTTTATGTAAAATTATGTAAATTTTATGCTTGAATAAAAAGTTAATATATTTGATTATTTTTATAAAAAACAAGGAAAAAATTATTATTTTATTTAAATCATTTTTTTAACAGAACGTATTAATATTAAAAAATAAAAAAAATTATAACTTACCTTTCTTAAGATTTAGAACATTGATAAACCTTTTCTGGATACTTTAATTTTTTGAATAAATCAATTTTTTTTATTTTAGTATTTTTGAACTTGTTTATAATATATTCTTATTAAAAATAAAAATGTTAATGAGTTAAATTATAATCAACAATTTAAAAATATTAATAATAAAATCTTCGATTAATATTACGCAAGAACAATATCAAGAATTGCGATAAAAATAAAAAAACAATAAATACTAAAATAAATAAAGGGAAAAAAAAAATATATATGGAAAAATATATTTTTTAACATTAATAAAATCTAAAAACTTAAATTAAAATAATGATGAAATCAGAAAAAAAAAGAAAAGTGTACTTAAAAGTATATTTAAAGAATATTTTATTTACCTCTTTTAATATAACTTATATATTTAATTTATTAATAATAAAGTATTTCATATATTTTTATGAATCAATATAAATATAATAAAAAAGTATTTAAATAAGTTAAAATTGGCTAAATAATCTTGTAAAAAATGTTATTCAATGAAAGGAAAAAAATAACAAAACAGTATAAGAAAATATTGATATTAATAAGATTAAATATATATATATATAATCATATCTTATGTAATAATTTTAATGCCATGAAAAAAAGAAAATATTTAATAAAAAATTATAGATAAATATTTCAAATGTTTTAATAAAATATATTTATTATTAACAATATAATTAATAAAATTTTAAATTATATTTTTTGTAAAAATTAAAAAGAATAAATTATATAAAGTAATAAATATCTTTATAACTATAATACATTTTATTTTATTTTTATTATTTAAACTTATATCTTTTTCTTCTATCTTTTTTTTTTTTTTTTAATAAAAATTTAATTTTTTTTGTTTAAAAATATTTTGAAAATATATTAAAAATAAACTATTTATAAAATTTTCTTTAATTTAGGATTTCTATTTTTTAATTTTTTTCTTATCTATATTATTTGTTAGTTTCAAAGAAGCATTCTATATATTTTAAGTAATAATTTTAGTAAAGGTGCTACGAATGATTATTTATTTATAATTACAAAATTTATTGATTATTGTTCTAATATTTTTTCTATTTCATAAAAATATTAAATTAGATGTATTCTTGTAAATATATATAAAAAGATAAAGCTATTATAATATATTATAATTAATATTTTAAAATAATGTTTTAGTACTACTACAAAAAATTTAACCTTTATTAAATTGATATGTCAACTATATATTTTTATTTTAAATACTGTTAATATAAAATTTGATTAATACAACTTTTTTTTCTCATCCTATTTGATTCTTTTTTTTTAAATATAATTTTATAAATATATTTACTGTCATATCTTTAATACAATTTTTAAAAATTAATAATAATTTTTTTATCTAAAAAAAAAAATAACATAAAAAATATCATAAAAAACATATTAAAAATATCTTAATGTTATTATGAACCACCTAGGAGATATGAACTCTGCTCCAAATCATTTAAAAGAATTACCAAAAAAATATGAAAAACTTTCAACACTTAAAAATAATTCTTACAATGGTAAAAATAATTACATTCATAATTTATTTAATAATAGAAATGTTGCCTTTAATAATAATTATTTTATGGAAAATAAATATATGAACAAAACACATGAATTTAATGTTACGCGTCTGTGTATAAGCCTTGCTATTATGTTTATATTTGGTATTTTACTTATTCTTTTACATAAAAAAATAAATAGGGAAAATAGAGTAAGAAAAATGTACATTTTAAAAGTTTATATTTTCATCCTTTTTTTTTGATTTTAATTATTTAAATTAATATTATATTAAAACAAAAGGCAGGCTTTGGAATGCAGAATAACCAAGATCTTTATTCAGAAGATTCGGGATATAACGATGATTATGATGCGAGTGAATATGAAATAGGTGATGGAAATATATAACAGCAATTATAAGAGGTTAATAAAATATATATCAGAAAATTTATATTGTATTTAATTTTTTACAACTCTTTTTTATTTTTTTTATTAAAATAAATTTTTATATGTGATTAAAAGAAATGCATTTATTTAAAACAATTTTTTATTTTTTTATACAGATAGGGAATATATATAAAAATAGAGCATTTCTTTTACTTTAACTAAATTATTTCTTTTGTTGTATACAATATTCTATTGGACTATATATAAAGCATTTAAAGTACACCAGTAATTTATGTCTTAAAATGATATTTATTTGTATTTGCACAACCAGAAAACATTTATAAATATATGGTTATTATTAATTAAATAGTGGTATTTTTTTAATTATAGAATCTTCGTTATAAAATGGAAATATATGCACAATTTTAAAATTATATCCTAAGTGATAGATATAATGTATAATTATAACATTTTTTTTTTTTAATAATTAACTCAATTTTCTTCTACAATTATTAATATATTCAATATAATTAACCATAAATTATAAATTAAATTACATTAAAAATTTATTATATAATTTTTTTTTTTTTTTAATAAAGAAAGAGAACCAGTTATGTTTCTCATTAATGATTAAAATATTTGGTGAGGTATTGATTTATTAATTTCCTACTCAATGACTTTGCTGCAGTATTAAAAAAAAGGATTAATAAAGTGTATATAGAGTTATCTCTACTAATTTAATGAATTTAAGTATAATTTTAATGTTATAAACCATTAAACTATTTTATATATAACCTACTTCATTGATTATTTATTGTTCTTAAGAGGTATTTATTTGATTTAATAAAAATCTCTATTTTTATTTAAAATTTAGATTCTCATTAATTATCAATTTTAATTACATGCTTTTTATATATAATGTTATAAGTATTGCTTAGAAATTCGAATACATTACTCTCAAATTGATAAACATGAATAATTAACAAAATGCAAAGTAAATTATGTAAATACTGCAAAACGCAAAAATTTTATTATCATTAATATAAAATTTTCTTATATAAATTTAAACAAAATATATTACAAGAAACTTTTTTAGTAACAACTCTTCTTTTTAATATTGGAACAAATTAATCATTTCAAAAAAAAATAAATATACTTTTTCTATATATTTTTAATTTGCAAAAAAAAATTAACTAATTTTTTTTTTTTTTATTTAGGATTTGCATGTCTAACTATTTATTTTTTATACAGCTATTACTTTTTATTCTTGAAAAGATTAATAATATCTTTTATTAACCAACTATTGAGATAACAAATACACAAATAACATTTATAAAGTGAGTCAATATTTTTGAATATTATAAAATTACCTTTACAACGAATACATATGTTTTAAAATTTTATTAACATGAAATATATATAGTATTTCCTATAACTTTTACAATATTTTAAATAAAAATACAGAAATTAAGTATAAGGATTAATTTTAGAACATTAATTATTTAATAAGGAGAGTTTGTTTAATATAAAAGAATACTCTTTATATTTTTATGGATATCTATGCTCATTTATTAAATCAACAATATAGAAATGTAGTATTTTTTTAATGTAAAATACTTATTTTTTATATTTTTATTAATAATAGTGCTTGACCTCAATTTATATCAAATATTATAATAAAAATTTTCTCTTAAAAATTTTTAATAAATTAAAATGTAATTTTTTTTTTTTATATAAAGTTAATTTTTTTAATTACATTTACTCCATATATTTACCCATAAATATAAGAAAAAGTGAATGTTAACATGCATTTTCAAGAAAAATATATTTTTAGTGAAACAAAAATGTAAAATAAAAAAACTAAGTATTTTATTTTTTTTTATAGTTATTAATTTAAATATTTTTTATGTGACTTCATGTGACACATTTGCATATTTTGAGTGTTTTATATTTTATATTATTAATCAATTGATTTATTAATAAATCATTTGATTTAAGAAAGATATTATTATCTTTTAATCATATAAACAGTTAGTAAACTATAAATAAATTAAAAAAAACCTATATATACATAGTGTTTTGAGAAAATTTTTAAACAGATATTTTAAAAAAAAATATTGTTTAAACAGATGCACTCATAAAAAAATATTTTAATATTTTTATTTTTGTTGTAAACTCTTTTTCTTTAATTATGTTTTATTCATTTTAATAAAAAAAAAAAAGAATTTCTTTTTTATGTTATAATTATATTTTTATATTCTACGAACGATTGATTTATTAATTGAATAATGATTTACCAATTTCCTATTTAATGAATTTGATATTATAAAACAAACGGATTAATAAAGAGAATGCATAGTAAACTCTATGCAATTTAATTTTAGATTAATTAAAATTTTTATCTAAAAATCTTTATTTTCATTAATAAACATCAAATTTTACTTATCATTAATTATTTTTTTTTAAGCCAATTTATACAACACTTTAAATGTGATTTCCTTGATATTACATTTTAACTTAAAATAAAATACAGACATCATAGTGATTCGTATATTTACTCATTTCCTCAAGAAAAAAAATTAAAAATGATTTTTTTTTAGTAATATTTTTTTTTAAATAAAAAAAAGAATAAAAAAAATATTATTGTAATATTTGTTTTTAAGTTACTGATATATAAAATATATATATATATATATATATATGATATATTTTTTATTTTATATAATTGTAAATACACATACAAAAAAAAATCATCATTATTTGCTTATTTTTTATAGTTTACTCACTATTAGTGCAAGTATAATTTTTTTTTTTAGCGTATATACTTTTCAAATAACTATTTTAGTGTATGCATTTATGATTGAATATTGGCCCTGTAATATAATAGGTACAAATATATAATTTTTTTATTCTATTTATTTATCCAAATACAGTACAAAAGAGATCAATAATATTATTTATAGGCTATATATTCAATTATTTTGGTAATGAACAAACAAATTCTTGAAGAGTATGTAGAAATGTATCAACCAACTTTAATTGTTATAAAAATTACATTATTGTCACAAATTATTAATCTCTATGTATATAGCTTACATAATTGGTTAACAAAAGAAATTATTAACCTTTTTTGAGAATAAGAATAAATAGTTATATGGAAAATATATAGCTAGTCATGCAAGAGTTAGATATATATAAAAAGTAAAAAAAAAAAAATTACTTGATAATTTTTTTAGTTTCATTTTTATAAAGAAAATACGTAAAAAAGTATATTTATTTTTTCTGAAAAAATATTTAATGATAAGAAAGATAGCATTCAAAAAAAGAAAAAGAGAAGTGATTTGTTGGTTAGTGTTTTATTAACTAGGTGTTCGGTGACTTTGCTAGAGTACTGAGCAAACAAATTACTAAAGAGCATGTAGAGTTGTCTCTACGATTTTGATGTATTTATATATATTTTTATATGCTTTGATCGAGTGATTCTTATTTATGTGCTCTACTTCGTTCCTCATTCTTTGATTTCAATAGGCATTTATTTACTTTAATAAAAATCCTGATTTTTATTTAAAATTTAAATCCTTATTGAATATTAATTATTAATTAATTGTAAATTACTTGTTTATTTATTATGAGTTACATTCAGCAATTAATATATATTAATATTGAATTAACAAACATAAACAATTATTGACAAATATCAAAAAACATTATATAAATATTAATTACATCAAAATTTTATTGTTATATGTATGAAATTTTCTCTTACAAAATTCATTAAAATCCTACTTCGTTTCATAAAAAGAAAATCTTTTTTTTTTTTAATCAACTTTCTTTTTTCCTGATGGTCTTTTTTTTTATAAAAATACAAACAAAAAAAATTGATCATTTTTTTTTTTGTTTTTTTTTTTTTTTTTCGTGTCCATAACCAACTACATATTCTTCATATAGCTAGTCCTTTTTATTACCAAAAAGGTTAATAAAGCCTTTTATTAACCACAAAGTCACCGAACACCCAGTTAATAAATCAATTGGTTAATACATTGCTCTATAAACAATACTATTGACCTTTTTTGTATAATTTTAGACGAATAAATAGAATGAAAACATTTCATATTGTACATGCTAATTCGCAAGGACAATCTGATATCATAAATGTCTTCTCTAAAATAGTTATTTAAAAAGCATGTAAAAAAAAAAATATATATATATATATCCTTGCTCTTAAAGTGAGCGCACTTAAAAAAAAATATATATTATGATGATATTTCTTTTATTACAAAAAAAAAATGTAATCTTAAAAAAAATAATTAGTTTTTTTTTTTTTTTTTGGAGGAAAATGTGCAGACTATTATAGAATGTATATTTTTATTTTAAGCTAAAATGTAATATTAAGGAAATTACATTTTAGAGTGTTACTTATATTAAAAAAAAAATAATTAACTAATAAGTCATATTTAATGTTTCTTATAAAAAATAAAAAATTCTATATTAAAATTATGTGGTGCTTACACTATATTTTCCTTATTAATTTATTAGATTGACACGAGAAATTTAATTAAACAACCATTAATGAATCATGGATTTAAATAATTTCTTTTCCTTAGGAACATTATCTTATTTATAATAATTATAATCATTTCAATACTTCATGAACTGTTATTTGGATAATTTAAGTTTGTATATCTGCAATACACACACTATTCAAATTATTTTAATATAATGTAATATCTATGTTAAATGTAAGACACTTTTATATTTTAATATTTTTACTCGTAAGAACAACTTATACATATAATATTAAAAAAATATGAATCGTAAAAAACATACTTTTATTAAATTTATGATTATTTTTTAGAGCAAAATTAGTGTTAAAATATTAAAAATGATAGTATTTAAACGAACCACTTTTTATTAATAATACGTCTAAGATTCTAACAAATTAAATATAAAAAATAAAAATTCTCATTAAAATTCAATCTTAATATTTACGAAGGTTCCTTATAAAATTTAACCTTTTAAGAAAAAATTTATATTAGCAAGGGACAATTGTTGAATTCCTTCAAACTTGGTTAATAAAAGGCGTTTTTAACCTTTTTTGTAATAAAAAGAACTAGCTATATTAAGAATACTTAGTTCGTCACGCACATGCAAAAAAAAAAAAAAAAAGAAAAAAAAAAATTATTGAATTTTTTATTTTTTCTTTTAATAAATGGAGATACATAAAAAAAAAATATATTATTTTTTTTAAAAAGATTTAATAAAAGAGAGAAAATCCGTAAAATAAAAATCGGGAATAAGATTTAGTACAATAAAAATGATATCTTAAACAGATAAATGTTATTTACATATAAAAGAGTTTAATTTGCATAATATTTATATTTTTAATTTGTGAGAGATAATTTTATACATATAACAATAAAATTTTCACGTAATTCATATCCATATAATTAATTTGCATTTTTAATAATTGTTTATGTTTATTAATTCAACAGCAATATATTTAAATTGCTTAACATAACTCATGACAATGAAATAAATAAATTACAATTAAATAATAATCTTTATTCAATAAGGTTTTAAATTTTTAATAAAAATAAGGATTCTTATTTTATAAATAAATGCCTATTGAAATCAAAGAATGAGGAACGAAGTAGAGCACATAATTAAGAATTACTCGTTCAGCGCATATAAAAATATATATAAATACAACAAAATCGTAGAGGCATCTCTGAGGGCTCTTTATTAATTAGTTTGTTTTGCACTCTAGCAAAGTCATCTAACACCCAGTTAATAAATCAATACTATACAAATGAGTTACCTAAATTTCGTAAGTAAAATGAAAAATAAAAAAGTGTGCTAAATATATAATACTAGAAATAAAAAAGAAAATAAACACATCGTAATAATAATCAACACTTATCAATATAATCTATAATGGCAAAAAAAAAAAAAAAAAAAAATAATTTTTTTTTATACTTAATTAGAAGTTTATAATAATATATATGCAAATAGTTATTTTATAATTCTGTTTTATCTTTATTTCTTGATATTTTTTATATCGCAATAAAAATGCATTCTTTTGAATTTTATAAGAAAATATCTATTATATTTAACTAAAGATATATTTTTATATGCAGTAAATAATATTTATATTAAATTGAAACTGATAAGTATTACTCGTAAAAAAGTAAATTTATAAAAATTTATTTTTAGAATAAATGAAACAAATTTGTCAAAAAATAAAACTTTTCTTAAAAAATATTTTTTACTGTAAATGTATGATTAAAAAAATTGTTTTTTTTTTTTTTTTTTTTTTTAAATTGTAATTAATTTATTTAACTTTTTAATATTCTTTTTATAAGATTTGTTATTATAATTTCTTTAAAGTAAATAACTATTTTCACTTTTTCTTTTGAATTTAAGTACTTAATAAAATTTTTCTTATTTTTTTTCAAATAGTTGAAAAAGTAATTTTTTTTAAAAATTAGTTATAACAAAAAATAAATATATACATATATTGTATAAATATTTATAAATAATAAAAATAAAAAAAAAAAAATTATGATAAAAAAAGTAAATTAGAAAAATCCAGAAAGTTATATTTAAAAGAAAAATATACACAAACAAAAATTAGTTTTATATTAAGTGAAAATTTTTGAAAAATGTAGTATACTGCATGACAAATACATAAGTAAAAAAATTTTTAATTTATATAGTTTTTTTTTCTTTTTTTGTGTTAGATATATCTCTATAATGTACAAAGATTCATATATATAAATCATAATATACTGTGTATAAAATAATTTAAAGTTCGACATAATTCACAGAAATTGGTAGTTTAGAAAAAAAAAATAAAAAAATTCTTTAACATTTAATGTACATCATTTATAATTTTTATGTACACTAAATTAGAAATATTTAATTTTTTTACATACTTTAAAGATAAATTAAATTTTAATAAAATATTTTTAAAATAGCTTTATCCTATTTTTTATATTTTATATTTATTTGTAAATTAACATTCTTATTTTATTTTTTAAAAAATTAAGAATATTATTCCTATTTAAAGTAACCATAATATCATGTGTAATAATATATAATTAGAAATAATATTTCATATATGAAAATAATTTTCTATTTAAAAAATTAAGGAAATTAATATAGGTTATAATAATATCTAAATTAATATTACAAATCCATAATTTAGTATTACTGAAGATTGAAACAGTTTTACATCTGAATTAACAACTTCCATTTTAGTATTATTCTATAAATATATTAATATGAAAACGTTAACTTTATATTTAAAAATTACTACATTCCTTCTTTTAATTTGGATATATCAATGTTTTTATAACGTAAGTAAAAATTTTTACAAAAAATATACATATAGATATATTTTATTTCTAAATATTCTTGGCATTCCATTTGATTTACTATTCTAATAAAAGAAACATCCTTAAAAAAATTTTTATTTAATCCATAGTGTTATTCCTATAAAACATTGATTGATGAAAATATACTACAAAAAAAAAATGAATTAAAATATGAAAGAGTATTAACAGAGGGTAAGATAGCAGGAAAAAAGCAAGCTTACGCTGTAGGATACCTAGAAGAATGTCCATTAGATAATAAAAAAAAAAAATGGGAAAATCCGGGTCAATACAAGAATCCTTGCGATCAATGGCATAATGTCATTACTCCACTTTTGCGGGAGTTATTTAATAAAGAAGCAAGTGAAATGGACCCTAAATTGAGAGACCAAAAATGGAATAAGGAATGGAATAAAATTTCAGCCAACAAGGTTAATGATCTATCTGCAATATTTTATCGAAGTGATATTTCAGAAGAAGAAAAACGAAAATTAATTCGTAGTGTTAAGGAAGAACTCCACATGGAATTTGTGAAATTTTTAGGCGAATGTAGGAAAGAGATGAGAGACAATAAAACAGAATCCGAATCTACGAAGGAGATGACAGAGAATAAAACAGAATCCGAATCTACGAAAGAGATTAGAGAAAATAGAACAGAATCCGAATGTAAGAAAGAAATGAGAGAAAATAAAGCAGAATCCAAATCTAAGAAAGAGAAGGGAAAAAAAAAAATAAAAAATAAGGAATAAAATATTTTGAAGTTTCTTTTTAGTAGGTTTTATAACCATTAAGAGAATAAAAACTAATGGTTTAACAGAATATATAGGATTACTAATGCGAAAGATCCAGTTAAAAAAAAAGAAAAATTAATATTTTGTCTAAATTTTTTTTTATAGAGATGTATTTTGTTTTTTAAAAAAAAAGAAAATTAATATAGAAAAATTTTTTAGAAAAAAAAAATTTCATAAGAATATTTTTTTAATTTTATGAATAAAACTTTCGTTAAGTGATATTAATACAATTAAAATTTTTTTATATTATTTAAGTATTTTTATTATTTTTCAAAGCAGTGAACTTAAATTACTGAAAATTACTTATAAGAAGCAATAAATATTTTGTACTTAAAAATTAATAATTAATGAGAATATATGTTTTTAATAAAAATACATAATTTTTATCAAAGTAAATTCACAATGAACCACATTATTTCAGTTTATTTGTTTATATAATTAAAATTATATTTAAAATTTGTTTAATTACTAGAGAAAACTCCATATTCTCTTTAATAATTTGTTTTTCATTACTCTAGCAAATTGATTGAATGATAATTTAATAAATTAAAAATATAAATTATGTAAAGTAAATAAATCAGGTAGTAAATGTAGAGGATAATATAGAAGAAAAAAAGTTGGATGAAGAACTATTACCAGCTAACCGACATGACAAAAAAAAAACACAAAAAGGAAAAAAAAAAAAAGTCTTAATTGAGAATTATTAGAGTTGAAGATTTGTTAATAAAAGGAATTATTAACCTTTTTGAGAAAAAAATTAATAGCTATGTGGAAAATAAATAGACATGAAAGTACAAGATAAATGAAAAAAAAAAGAATTGAATAGTGTGAGAAAAATGTTCAAGTTATTAATAATGGAAGAAAACTTGATAAAAAGTTTTTTCCTGGCAAATTTTTATCTTCGAATTTTAAAGAGAAAATTTTATATTAACAATAATAAAATTTTTGTGTTTGCATTTTTGTATAACTTATTTTGTATTTTGTTATTTATATTTGCTAATTAGCAAGAAGTGAATTTGAATTGTTAAACATTAATCATAACATTACAAGTAATATATATGTGATTTAAAACTATAATTAATAAACATTTAAATTTTTAATAAAATAAGGATTTTTATTAAAATAATTAAATGCCTCATAAAAGTAATAAATATTCAATGAAGGAAACCATACACATTTCAATGGTTCATAGTATTAAAAACAAATTTAAATTAATTTAAATGGTAGAAGAAACTCTACATGCTCGTTGTTAATCCTTTTTTTCAATACTCTAGCAAAGTAATGAATAGGAAATTAATAAACCATTAATTACATTTATTTAACTTATATTATGATTTATATTTAACAGTTCAAATTTATTGCGCTCAAATTAACTAGCGTAAATAATTGATAAAATTCAAATTAAATTAAGTACTACAAAACACAAAAATTTTATTATAGTTAATATAAAATTTTCTTATTAATGTTTAAACAAAAATACATCACATTAATCTTTTTTAGTCAATACCTTTTTTTCTATTTTTCGACTGCTAAATTCCATTTAAAAAAAGTAAAAATTTATTTTATTGTGTATTTAAATTACAAAAATAAAAAAAACATTAATTAATTTTTTTCTTTTTTTTTTACTTAACTATTGCATGTTGGTTAATAAACTGCATTATTAACCTTTTTAAAATAAACAATTATAGTTGTATGGAAAATATATAGTTATACATGTAAATTCTAGATACAAAAAAAAAAAAAAAAGAAAAAAAAAATAAAATAAAAAAATAATTGTTAATTACTTTGTATTCTTTTTCTAATATTTAAATACAAAAAAAAAATATATTTTAATTTTTTTTGAAAAGATTAATTTTTCAGTTGAAATATTATTTTATTTATTTCTTATTCAATAACATTGCTAGAATATTGAACAACATACTAATAAAGTAAAGATAGAATTTTCTCTACTAATTTAATGAATTTATGTTACGTTTTAATGCTATAAATAAGTAAACTGCTTTATATATATAGTATTCCTAAATAAAAATTTATTGTTTTGACGAGACAATTATTTATTTTAATAAAAGTACTAAATTTTTAATAAAAATTTGAAACATCATTGATTATCGATATTAACTATATATATTTTATTTATATTGTTAAGTGTAATGTTTAAGAATTCAAATCCATTTTTCCGAAATTAAAAAAAAAAAAAAAAGTAACAGAATACAAAATAAACTACGCAATATTACTAACGCGAAAATTTTATGATCATTGTTATAGAATTTTCCTACATGAATTTAAAACGTAGTATACATGGTTAATAAAAGGCTTCATTAACCTTTTTGGCTATAAAAGGACTAGCTATGTGGAGAATACATAATTAGTTTTGCTAACTAAAAAAATTCTCACAAATTTAATTCCTTTCTTCTTCAGTGAAAAATATTTTTATTAGCTCTAATTTATACAGTCATTTTAATCTCACAGTAATTAGCATTGATTGACCGGACTAAGGCAATTACAATAACAAAGATGAGAAGTATCAACAAACAATCAATTTATCAATTCTTAGCTAGATACTGACAATGAAAATACAAACTCATTGGGTCCAGGTGAAATACAGGAGATTGTAACTTAAGCATTTCCTGGAACATAACTGAGGAAAAACTTAATAATTTGCAATGTTTGTTTTTCATACTACATTTTATTGTTTTCCAAGAGATACAGGTAATATCTTCATCTCATTTGGCATGTCTACCAGAGTCTCATGGAAGATGCTTCACAGTTAACTGTTTGGAAACAATTCATGGAATTATTTTGGATTGCATTTATGAGCTGAACACTGACTGAACTCAAAATGTCCAGAATTTTTCTGTAGCATAGCAGAGTTTCAAAAATGGTAAAAGTTGACCTCTGCTCAGATTCCGAAACCTGACTTTAAACAGAAGCTACTGATTTTCCAGAAGCACTGAGAGGTAAATGCTATTGTCTGTGAGAAAGAGAGTTTAAATATTATATATTATATTGTGTATATATAATGTGTTATATATATATATATGTGTATATATGTATATTTG